AGTCGCCGCAACTGGCGACCTGGAGAAGGGGCAGAAGTCCTTCGTCGATGGTCTTCCCCTGTCGGAATTCGACGATAAGATGGCACAGCAGATCTGTCACTACGTGATTCGCACGAAAGAAGAGGTTCTTGTCCACAATTTCCTCGAGGACGATCGATTTTCCAACGCCAGCGAGGCCTACCAGAACAAATATCCCATGGGAAGGTCTGTCATTGCACTGCCTATTATGCAGGCAGACCACCTCCTGGGCGTCATTCATATTGAAGGCAAGCCGAACTCCTTCACTCAACGCAATGTTGTAGTGCTTCATCTGCTCTGCAACCAGATTGGCATCTCCTTGGCCAATGCGCTGCTCTTCCGTGAAGTCCGCAGAGTTAGCGCCACCAACGCAGCTATGATTGAAGCACAGAAGCGCGCCCTCGCGCAGGCACGTGAGGCGGAGCATAAAGCCAAGGTGGCAGAAGCAGAAGCCAAGCACAACGTGAAACTGAAGGAGGATGCCGCCAGAGCCAAGTCCATCTTCCTAGCCAACATCTCCCACGATCTCCGGACGCCAATGAATGGTGTTATTGGTTTGTCGGAACTCCTCAAGGGAACGAATTTGAACAAGGAACAGGACGAATATGTCGAGTCTATACGAGTCTGTGCTGATACACTGCTCACCCTCATCAATGACATCTTAGACTTCTCGAAGTTGGAGGCAGGAAAGATGAAGATATCGACCGTTCCTCTCAACGTAAAAGAGACCATTTCCGAAGTTGTGCGCGCCTTGCGCTACACCCACCGGGACCGGGGCCTCGTGACTATCGAAGACCTGGACAAAGTTCCACCAGATCTCGTGGTTCTCGGGGACCCTGTCCGGTTGCACCAAATCTTCATGAATCTCTTGAGCAACAGCTATAAGTTCACACCGAAGGGATCTATTACTGTCCAAGCCAAGGTCTCACGGGAGGGCAAGAGTCGTGTGCGCCTGGAGTGTGCGGTGTCTGACACTGGAATTGGTATTCCTGAGGAGCAAAAGTCGCGTCTTTTCAAGCCCTTTTCGCAGGCCGACAGTTCCACAGCGAGGTCGTACGGTGGTAGTGGACTGGGACTCAGCATTTGCAAGGCCATTATCGAGGATGTCCTCGGCGGAGCGATCTGGCTCGATTCGACTCCGGGTGTCGGCACCACGGTGACTTTCCACTTGTCATTCAACAAAGCCAAGGACTCTGTGACAAAAGCGCCGTGGTCGAAGGGTTCTGCCATAGAGGAGAACCAGGTGGCACGTCGACCAATGGCGCGTGATTTAACCATGATCCCTCGCGATCAGATCCGTGTTTGTATTGCTGAAGACAATCCCATCAACCAAAAGATCGCCGTGAAATTTGTTACCGGTCTTAACTTGCAATGCGAAGCATACAGCGATGGACGCCAGGCAGTCGAAGCTCTGCGAGCACGCTCTCTGGAGGGCAATCCGTTCCACGTGGTGCTGATGGACGTGCAGATGCCTACACTGGATGGTTACAATGCGACTCGTGAAATCCGCAAGGACCCAGATCCCAACGTGAACGAGGTTCTCGTGATCGCCATGACCGCCAGTGCCATCGAAGGGGATCGCGAGAAGTGCCTTGAGGCCGGAATGAACAATTACCTGCCCAAGCCGGTCCGCTCTACGGTTCTTAGCGAGATGCTTGACAACTATCTTGCGCCTGCGCCAACGTACACCAAGACTCGCCTAGCCATGCGTGCGAGAGGGAGCATCAGCTCCGAAGTCGGTACTCCGAATAGTACTTCGTCATCCGGTTCGGAGCCGGTGATTGCACTGACCCCCGACGACGAGAAGATCAGCGGCAGGCCCAGTCGGGCATGAACTAGTCCAGTGTCTCATTCAAGTTCTACCGTACTTGTTTCTTTCGAGTCAATCTTGGTATGCCTGGATGAAATGCCTGTTCCCTCCCGGCTGTCATCCGCAATGTGCTTGGCCGTGCTTCATGGGGGTTCTCGATTCGTTAGACCAGCGCTTTCCTATCTGTGCACAAAGAGCATCATGGCTGCATTTCCTACTTTTTACCCTTTCATTTCCCTTTTTTATCTGTTCCATGCGATGATCACGAACGCCACGACTCACGATATTTGCATTATGGGCTGCTTGCCTGCCACGCGGGCGATTATCAGAATTATCCCATCTTGCTTGCTTTCTTCTGCCTTCCTCTTCGATGCAGTATTTTGTCATGCCTTTATCTCCTATGTCCGAAACGAGTCCTGTCACCCGAGACTGAGCCATTCTCAATTGCTGCGTCGCCCTTTTCTTTTATTCAATTTCGTGTTCGAGGTGCCTTTACTTCTTCTTCTCTTTGGCGCTCAATATTCCCCGAGATTTGATTTGCAATTCTGAAAACGGATACACGGTTGTCAATAGGTGTTATTGTTTTAGGTCTTCCGTTCCCCTTCAGGCAGAGTTGTCCCAATCGCCGGTTTCTCACTTCATACTCTTGTACCAGGATAGAATAGAGCGTAAGGAAGAGGATCGCCAAATGAGAACTTTTTAGTATTACTCCTATTGGAAGGCTTGCCTGCGAAATCTTTTTTATTCAAGACTATGTACAATGAAGGCAAGATATTTGACAAAACTGTTGGTAGTATTCACCCCCTAAAGCTGGACCACTCAGCATGGAGTCGATGCGATTACAGCCTAAGCGTGGTGGGCTCTGCGGCCGAAGATACGGAACCGCTTGACACCACCGTCAGGGATCAGGGTCAACTTAACATGTGTGAAGGTGCGGGTGTCCTCGCCACCAGCAGCGAGTTCAGCACCCTCGTACACATGCTCGGTATCGGCCTTGCAGAACTTGTCGCCGCTGAGCAGGGGGATCCAATCCGGATGATCATGCGCAGGCACCTCGCCGGCCGCCACGCTGCCCTGGAGCAGACCGTGCACCCGCACGGCGCGCGGGAAGTTACCGCGGAAGTCCTTGGTATCGACGACGATTTTGGCAACCGAGCCGGGGAGGCCCAGCTGGAAGATGGCCCAGTCGGTGTAGCCTGGGATGCGCGACCGCGCGGTCTCCCAGCCATCGCCCATGTCCTTGCCCCGGCCGGGAAGTATCAGGTTGGAGATGGGCGTGTAGTGCTGGTTGGATGCTGTCAGGGCCAGACCGCCCAGCAGCGCGGAGGAGAGTTCCTCGATGGGGGCTTCTGTGGAGTCGGCGTGCGCAGGGGCCGGGGGAGGGATCGCGTGACCGTAGAGACGGAGACGGCCGAATCCGCCATCGGGGTACATCAGCAGGCGGACGTGGGTGTAGGGCTTGGGGTTGGCGGGGTCGTAGTCGTTGAGTTTCCAGGCGCGACGCTGAGACGGTCCGCAGGGCTGAGGGGGTAGAATGGTGGTCCAGCCGTTGAAGCTGGGGTCGGCGATCTGCTCGTCCGTGATGCCGCTGTCGGCGGGCGCGTAGGTCCCCTGCAGCTCGGCCTTCTCGCCATAGTTGCCCACGAAGAAACCTGTGTTCACTTCCACGCCCTGGATGGCACCGCTGGCAACACCCAGCTTGATCACGACCCAGTCGTAGGGCTCAGGGTTGTGCCGGCGAGTCTCCCAGCCATCGTACCAGGCGCCGGTGTGCACGAAGACACCGGGACGGTTGATGGGAGGAGTCGGGGTGAGAAGGTTCGAGGCTGCGGCGAAGAACTCGTCGGAACAGGCGAGGACCTTGGTATTCAGGCCCGACGAGGCCAGGTTCGTGGTGTGCGCGAAGACCTTGTCGATCTCCTCAGCGGGGACATAGGTGACCTTATCGGACGTCATAGTGGTGGTGCTGGGATCGCTGGGTTGGGGTTTTGGGTGGTATTGCTGGATTGAAGCAGAGAATTAGAGTGCGCCCTTGAACTCTGCAATCACTTTTTCTTGCAACTCCGGTCTGGTCTGATCATCCTCTTCTTATCGCTGCTGGAAACGTCCTTTAAATAAGTCTGGCAGTGGATGAGGGGGGAAAAATAAGTTGCCCGATAACTGGCGATAAGCCCCGCAGGCCACCTATACACCGTGTTTGCCTCAGGTAATCATTACTCGATCCCATCGAGTGATTTTCTTCTCCTTCTTCCTTCTTCTGTCTTGCGCTCCTATAGTCTCTTTTCCTCAGACACCCAAATCACCTCCCTTGAGTCTCTGCCTTCCTGTTTCATCCGCTTAGCCACCTTAAAGCGCCATTTCCCATTATCAAATCGCAATCACCTGCACGGTTTGTCGCTATTCCCAACGTTCCCGCTCATCCCCCAATCGAGTTATACTGGTTCGTGCCCCACTGCCCCGGAATTGTACCCTTCGGAGGTCTCCGATGATCGCAGCCTTCCGTGGGAAATGGATCGTCCCTTCACGTATTGCATAATTGGTTCGGTGGTTAACATGGGAAGATGCAAGACGCCATGAGTCACCATGTTGGTGTCATTTCGAAGGACCCCAGAACATGGTGACAGCGCTCACAAATCCAAGGCTTTTGCTGCAGGTTCGGGAAACTGCCACAGATGATGCCCGCGTTTCACACAATGCGTTGAGGAGCTTGTGCTTCCGCCGGTGACACTTTCAAATAGCTTGGGTTGAGGCTCCCTTGAGCACAGAGGTGACTTGAGCAGTTGAGCGTGCAACTGCGCTGCACATGTTGCTGTTGCAGAAGTGGGAGCTGCTACAATGGCACATGTACGATGTCTACGCATGGACTTGGTTATTTTGCTGTACAGCTGGGGACGACGATGTTCCTCTGCCATCGTTCCTTAGAGGCCTCACAGTTACCCGACTCTTCCGAGCGATTTGAAACAAGTGGGAGAGATCATTGTCAATCAAGTGTCATATTATCTTTCTAAGCGTGAACAGGTAGGACGCCAAACGAGCTATGCGCAATGCTCCAGTTCTAGAATGAACGCCGGTAATGCATGGTCACCATCCCATAACTCCCCGTGATAATGCTTGATGCATGCCATTATGACCAGCGGGGACCCTCGGCTTTCATATCACCCTCCGTGACATCTCAACCTCCTGTCGTCTTGGTCGCCAGTTCTTCGAGTCGCTTGTATCGCCATTCATATTGTGCCAACTGCTTCTTCTCCGCCGGCGACAGACTTTTCCCTTTGTCCACCATCTCCTTCTCCACCTGCTTGAGCATCTCCCAGCGCTTGAGAATCCGGGCCTGGTGCTCAGATATGGATGCCAGGTTGGTGTCTTTCGAAGCCATGCGTTCCTCGATGGTGGAGTGGTAGGACAATTTGGCGTGGAACAGTGCCATATCCGACTCGTCATACTTGAGGCCTCGTGCTTCAGGCAGAGAGTTGGAATGACTCCCTTTGGACGGCATTCTGGACGCTTGCAATTGTCAGGCACGTGCAAATGCTCTCGGGCAAGATCTGCGAGGTGTATATCGGGGGCTTGTAAGGCTTGTATTGTTTTGAGATCGGCCAGTCTAGTCGATGCGGGCTACTGTTCGAAACCCACTGGTGAGGTAAGGATGAGAGAAATAGTGAGTTGAGAAGAAGCTTGTCTTGGGATAGGAGGCGGCGATTTCTCTGACCTCACTACTGCCCTGCGAGAGTGCCAGCCTTTTATTGTTGAAAGGATCTAATATCCCTTCTATCTTTGGGCGGATACAGGCGACCTTTATAGATCCCCGGTCCCTCAGGTATGTCTTTCAAGGTGATACCAAGGATGCCACCGAACTTACATTTGCCAATAACGCGGCGCAACAGAACAGCGGAGAAAAGATAAAATGGTTCCATGTCTGAAACTGCCTTCGTCTCTGCCAAAGGCAGTACCCACTTCGTTTGCCCCGTCATCTTGTGATTATCGCGGAAGCCCAATCCCACCGCTCCATCAGGAAGGCGTTTGTTCCTCATTTTATCGGACTGTGACACCTTGAGAATTCCACCGGCGCAACCAGGGGCGGTCTGCAGAATTGCGCTGGTCAAATTGCAGTCTTCTGTCGTCTTCTCTGCGAGACGAGGTATTGAGCCGGTGAAGAAGCTCGCAGGCCTGACGAACGGACCACATCTGCAACGGCGGCGGGCAAGTATAAACCTTCCATGGCTATTTCGATGACTATTGCTTACATATGTAGTTGGCTGCAAACACATACTAGCATTGGTCAGCCGAATAAAGCCAGCCGACTCGGTTGTTAGCCATGCGATCCCGTTGTTACACACAGACCAGGGCTACCTTCTAAGAACAACAATGGAATTTCTCTTCTCCCCTGTCGGCGTTAGCGCTCTCAGAAAGGAGGAAGTAGGGAGATCGTAACCGTAGGTGGACGTGCTGTTAGGCCTAGACGGAAACCCAATCGATCATGATCATGGCTTCCATGATCCCTGTCGCTAGGCAAACGCGCAGGGATATCAACCCAGAACATTCCTTTTCGCTGCTTTCAGTGAAGTTTGATTCGCTCTCGAGCCCGTTTAACTTCCCGTTGAGCGTTGCTTAACACCCCGTTCCGGACTTGGTCTGCAGGTAGCCGTTGGATGCGTTGTTATGTCACATTCGAGTCATGGTCGTATGGACAAGTGGTACTCTTTAAACACCCTCATCAATAAGGATATTCAACTTGCCTATCACGTCGGATCCGAATTCGGGAATACTGGCAGTAACATTTTACAGTAGAACTGCGGCACTCTTTCACTCTAGGGGCAACCAGACCAAGACTGACTGAGTTTGATCAGGTGCACTAACAACGCCCAGCTAGTCGAACAACGAGAAATTCCTGTTCACTTACACTGCAGAATCTACGTCATCAACTGTCAGACACAATACATACCCGCCCGAAATGCTACACCCGGCAACAGGCTCCTTGCGTATGCTGTGCAATCGAACCTCCAAGTTCAAGCGTCTTAAGAATATATGGACATGGTCTAGTGCGGTGGCGCTCTTGCCCTTGTAGGGTCGGTATTGGAATATGTCGGTAGATGATAGATGTACATCGGTGTGGCAGCGGTTGTGGGTGATGTTTGCTTCCAGGTGAGTAGACAGTGTTATTTATAGCACAAAGAGTATACCTATCCTTATCGAGGCGGTCAATGTGGGATTTGAGGATTGAACATGAGTATCTATACCTTGATCTAGATGTCGGCCTGAAGTCTCATATACTGTGGAAGTTGAGCGTCACATGGAAGTATGTAGTTTACTGGCACAGAGTCGATTATGGGGCCGATTATCATATCGTGAGACTCATAAAATCCAAATGCACGGATCGAGATAGATACAGCCATGACAGGTACCTAGTATAATGATGTTCAGCGTCGTACCTCCTCATCCCGAGTGGCCTCCGCCATCTCCTTCTTCGCCCTCTGGATGTCCAGGGACATCTTGACGGGTGCCACGCCCGGCGTCTCGAACACGGCGTCAATTTCTTCGAGAGACAGACCAGATGTCTCTGGGAAAACGAAGTACGACAGAACGAGTTGGATACAGTTGTAGACGATATAGACCACCCAAATCTTGTAACCGATCTTCTGGATTCCAACACTAATGCCGTATGTTTGAACGGCTCCCGCACCGCCCTGAATCAACCCGTAGAGACCCATTCCCTTGGCACGGAGCGGCAGAGACAGGATCTCAACGGGGTACAGGTTGTGCATGGTGGCAATCAGCGTAGCGGAGAAGGTTTGGTAGAGGTAGATCCAAAGGATAGTCAACGCAGCGGCTGCGGTGTTTCCCGTGACATCAAACTGCCAGGAGGTGATTGTGGCGGCAAACTGGAAGAGGATCATGCTTGCGAGTCCCGAGAAGACCAACGTCCGTCTGCGGAATTTGTCAACGATGAGCGCTCCTACCCCGGTAAACACAAAGTAGACGGCTGTGGTGCCAAGCTGGATACCGAGCTGCTGCTTCGAACCCTTGATTCCGATCGTTTCCAGAGCGGGGACCATCTGCAGTAGCACAATGTCAATTGAGAAGCAAGACCTCACGGCCCCAGTCAGAGGCCTTAGGGTAATAACTTACGTAGTATGTAATGATACCTCCACCATTCCACTGCTGGAAGATGGAGTAGAGGAAGAGAACAAGCAGTCGGAAGCGGGCCATCTTCGTGAAAAAGACCCGGTAATCCCAGAACTGATTGAAGCCTGTCCGGTCATGCTCAAGTGACGCCTCAATCTGCGATACGACGATCTCGACAATGGGCTCATTGATATCGCCGCTGGTCGTGTGATACTTTGCAATCATTCGCTTGGCAGCGTCTCTCCTTCCTCGCATGATGTAGTAACGGGGCGATTCGGGGGTGATGAGGTAGATGGTTGCACAGACTATAGCAGGAAATACGGCTTCCAGAAGCAGTGGGACTCGCCAGCTCCAATCCCCTTCTATCTTGGTCAGTCCAATCAAGGCGCCCGTCATACCCAGACTGCCTATCTGGAAACATGCACCAAAAATGCCGACGATTAAGCCGCGGAGGTGGGTCGGGGCGACCTCGCCCACATATTGAGAGCTGGACAAGAGCGCAGATCCGAATCCCAGCAGGAACCGGGCCGCCATGAACATTTTCAGGTTCACAGCGCAGCCCTGGAGAACCGCGCCCACGATCACAATGAAGTTGCCGAGAAAGTTGATTCCCCGTCGACCGATTATGTCCGCTAACGACAGAAACGGGGCTCCACAGACGGTGCCAATGTTCATCAAGGCATTGAGCAAGCCGTATGTGCCGCCGCTAGTTCCAAATCCAAAATAGGTGTGCCATGCTGGCAAGGCATTGATGCCACTGATAACGGCCCAGTCAATCCCATAGCCAGCTTGATTGCATCCCTGAACGAAAAGGATCAAGAATAAGCGGAAACCAGCCCAAGACCGAAGATCTAGTGCTTCCCGGGAGATCCTAAAAACGTCCTCCTCGGTCAGGTTGGCAAGCACGACTTCTTCAATATGTGCTTCATCCTTCTTCACATCCAGTTCGCTCTCATTTGTGGCCGTGACATTGATAGGGTTACTCATTATAAAGGGCTCAGGCACTCACTAACCAAAGACCTTGTGAGGCAAACGAAACTCCCTTGAAATGGATGACCAAACAGCGAAGAGAAGGAGAATAAGGCACTGACGAGGATACGGCCTCCTTGACTGGCCTACTGGGGTCACACCACTATATGAGATTGTCGCCGATCATGTCGGTCGGACGCTGCTTGTGCGACAAACACATGTCGACCCGATTAGGCCCTTGCTCCTCTTTCGCCACGGAGTTGGTATGGTTGACAGAATGGTTTGAATGGGACCAGTAGAAAGTCCATGGATAAAGCTCGTGAATTTAGCCGCAGAGTGTCAATAACATGGCTGAGATACGTCTATCCCTAGAATGCCAATCATGACCTGTTTGCGAGATTGGCCATGATGGTTTTCTTATTGTGGCTGGTAATTTTCCGCCATTGAGGTGTCTCCCTTACTTTGAAGGAAGGGCTAATGGACAACACAAGGCGAGTCCGGTGGCGTCTGTAGCAGTCTGGATGGCTAGTGCTATACTCCGCGAAGCTAGTAAGGCATTTTTAGCTCAGGTTAGCCCCAAATAAGGGCTTGGGCTGTTGTTCGTGATCTGGGGGATTCCTAACCTGGGGTAGAACAACGGTCTTGGGCGGTTGGAGTAGACCATGGCCGTCTTATGTACTGTGTATACCTTCTCATAGCAGGTATTTGAAATCTAATTGCTCAACCCGTATTGAAGAAAGCAAGGAACCCAATCATTCCATACCTCTACTGTCGATAACAAGACGGTGAACTTGGTCGGATGGTGGAGGAGTGGAGGCACATGGCCTGTTCTTGTTGCATCGTCTGTTTGGAACTTGGGCTTCTTTTTCTTTGAATCCTGCTTTGCTGACACTTGACAGTTCCCCGCTCGAATTCAAACCTGGTCGAATTAGGATAATGCTTTTTTTCCCTTCTCCACGGACAAATCTCCGCATTTTCACTAAAACCTTTAGCCTCGATAGCTTCTTGTCCTGGTGTTCTAGCCATGGTTATCTGATCTTTCCACCAAACAGAGACGGTTTACGGCCCGACTCGACCGACTTGGGTCAGTCACTAGGATAAATCCACGCCCACTATCACGGTCAACACTCGTTGATTAAACAAGATGACTGGCCGTTTGGCTGGACATTGCACGCCATAATGTCGGAACTCTGGTACCAGCAGCCTGCTGGCAACTGGGAGGAAGCATTGCCAGTGGGCAATGGCCGTCTGGGCGCCATGGTCTATGGGCGAACCGATACAGAGATGCTACAGCTCAATGAGGACTCGGTTTGGTATGGAGGTCCCCAAGATCGTGTTCCTCGTAATGCATCTAAGTATCTCCCACGTCTGCGGTCTCTGATCCGAGAGCAAAACCACGCAGAGGCGGAGAAGCTGGTTCGTCTGGCCTTCTTCTCTCATCCCATTAGTCAACGGCATTATGAACCGTTGGGGACTTTGTTTCTCGACTTTGGTCATGCCCCCGAATATATGCGGAACTACCGACGGTCGTTGGATATTGAGCGTGCTATCAGTCGTGTGGAATATGAGCACAAAGGTATAAAGGTTCGACGGGAAGTCATCGCCAGCAACCCCGACGGTGTGATTGCCATGCGAGTCCAGACATCTCAGAGAACGGAGTTTGCCTTGCGGCTCACCCGAATGAGTGATTTGGAATACGAAACAAATGAATATCTCGACGACGTCACGGCACAAGACCAGACAATTACCATGCATATCACCCCTGGTGGACACAAGAGCAACAGGGCTTGTTGCATGGTCAAAGTTCGCACAGCGGATAATCAAGGCTCTGTCACTCAAGTCGGAAACAAACTGCTGGTCAGTGCTGAAGACACGCTGGTGCTAATCTCGGCGCAAACCACTTACCGTTGCGACGACATAGACAAGAAGGCTTCGTCTGATTTGGACACAGCTTTGCTGCACTCTACTGACGAGATCTGGGAGCGACATGTGAAAGACTACCGATCACTCTATGGTCGCATGGAAATGCACCTGAGTCCCAACAACTGTGACATGCCGACTGACAAGAGAATCAAGGATTCGCATGACCCTGGTCTGATAGCACTCTACCATAATTACTGTCGCTACCTATTGATATCGTGCAGTAGAGATGAGGACAAAGCTTTACCAGCGACACTACAGGGTATATGGAATCCATCCTTCCATCCAGCTTGGGGATGTAAATACACGATAAATATTAATCTGCAAATGAATTACTGGCCGGCAAATGTCTGCAATCTCTCCGATTGTGAGATGCCTCTATTCTCTCTACTAGAGCGCGTTGCGAAATCAGGAGAGGAGACAGCACAGAAGATGTACGGCTGCCGTGGCTGGGTCGCTCATCACTGCACCGATATTTGGGCTGATACTTCTCCTGTAGACACGTGGATGCCAGCAACTCTTTGGCCTCTAGGAGGTGCTTGGCTCTGTGTTCATATCTGGGATCATTTCCGTTTCACCCGCGACAAGGGATTCCTCCAGAGAATGTTTCCAATTCTGCAAGGATGTGTGCAATTTCTTCTTGATTTCTTGGTTGAAGATGCATCCGGAGAGTTTTTGGTCACGAATCCGTCACTGTCGCCCGAAAACACGTTCTATGATGAAAATGGAGAGCCCGGTGTCCTGTGCGAAGGCTCCACCATTGATATTCAGATTGTAAATGCTGTCCTGAGCGCTTACCTGAAGAGTGTCGAAGAGTTAGAAATGGACTCTAAGCTTGCACCGGCAGCATTAGACGCCCTGCGCCGACTTCCACCCCTGCGCATCGGGTCTTTCGGGCAACTACAAGAATGGGCTTCGGATTATGCGGAAGTAGAGCCCGGTCATCGGCATGTTTCTCATCTATGGGCCTTGCATCCTGGAGACACCATCAGCCCGGAAACAACACCCAAAATAGCCGAGGCCTGCTCGGTCGTGCTGCACAGACGTCAGGCCCATGGAGGCGGTCATACGGGCTGGAGCCGCGCATGGTTAATCAATCTGCATGCACGATTGCTGGCAGCTGAGGAGTGTGCGAAGCACCTTGATCTCTTACTGGCGCAGTCAACCCTGCCCAACTTATTGGACACGCACCCACCGTTCCAGATCGACGGTAACTTTGGCGCCGGCGCGGGTATCCTGGAGATGCTCCTTCAATCCCAAGAGGAGGGAATTATTAGACTCCTTCCCGCTTGCCCCAGAGCCTGGTGTTCTGGGTCTCTTCGGAATGTCTGCGCTCGTGGAGGGTTTAAGTTAGATTTCAGCTGGGAAAACGGTCAGATAAAGGATGCTGTGACTGTCTACTCGGAATTCGGCCGTAAAACAGTCCTTTGCTTTCCTAACAATGGACCTCGGATCGAGATCCAGGGCAGGGGATCTCATAGAATTAAGCCTTGACTTCCGGACTGTGCGTGTGGCTATATAGCTGTCAAGAAGCTCGACTGTTTCTTTAATCGTAATAATGACATACAATCAGGAATCTAGATAATGGCAACTGGCACATCCTACTCGCATGCCTTCACAGGGACTCCTAGGGGCCAGGATGGCTTTCCAGATGGGATGGAGCGCCAACGAACAAGATCTGTCCCCTCCCAATCCTTCTATCATCAAAGACAGCGTAGCGTTGTTTAGATCCAGTCGGGGAACCAGGCACATCGTCCTTCTTTCGACTGATACCTCAATGAGTGATCTGATGTATGATACATCATTTATTTCCCCCTCTTTGGATACCCCACTTGGTCAATGCCCAGATGGAATTATCCAGCAATGAAGAGACAGGATGGTGGAATAGACCGGCCAATTGACGAGCTAAATGTTCAATTTAGCCGGATATCGTAATGACAGCAAGCAAGCCTGATCGAATAAACCTGCCAAATTGTCACGAGAACCATGGACGGAATCTGGTGTTCAATCATCGCTGAATTAAGCCTTTCATTTACGAATTCCTCTGGCTCCTGCACGAGTCTCTCCTTGGCTTAGATCCAGAAACAGACTGCCAAAAGGCCCGGAGAGAAGAGACATGGACCTGCAATCCGTCCAAGATCTCAAAGACGTCTTGAGGAGCGACTTCTTTCATGGTTACGCCACCGCGGCGGCCCAGGTGGAAGGGGCCTGGAATAAAGACGGTAAAGGCCAATCAATCTGGGATACTTTTGCACACACACCTGGTAAGGTAAAGGACGGAAGCACTGCCGATGACGCGGTGCGCTCGTACGACCTGTACAAGGAAGATGTGGCGCTCATGAAGACGTATGGGGTCAATGCATACCGCTTTTCCCTCTCTTGGTCTCGCATCATTCCTCTCGGAGGGTGCGACGACCCCGTCAACGAGAAAGGGATTGAATACTATTCGAATCTGGTTGACGAGCTGCTCCGTAATGGCATCACGCCGTTTGTCACGCTCTTCCACTGGGACACGCCGCAAGCCCTGGAGGATCGCTACGGCGGCATGCTGAACAAGGAAAAGCTCGTGCCGGACTTTGTCAATTACGCTCGTGTTTGTTTTGAGAGACTCGGCGACCGCGTCAAGCATTGGATCACATTCAATGAACCTGGAGTCTATACGCTGGCTGGATATGCGGCGGGCGTTCACGCACCGGGTCGCTCCTCTTTCCGGGACCGCAACGAGGAGGGCGACTCGTCCACCGAGCCATTCATCGTTGCGCACACAGAGCTGGTCGCCCACGGACACGTGTCCCGGCTCTACAAGCAGGAGTTTCAACCCCATCAGCAGGGGACCATCGGCATCACTCTTCACGGGAACTGGTCTGAGCCATGGGATGAAGCCGACCCGCTGGATCAAGAAGCCGCTGAGCGCGCGCGCGAGTTCGAGATTGCCTGGTTCGCAGACCCGCTCTACAGGACGGGTGACTATCCGGCCTCCATGAGGGCGCAGCTGGGTGACCGTCTGCCCAAGTTCACGCCGGAGGAGTCGAAGCTGGTGCTTGGGAGTTCCGAGTTCTACGGCATGAACACGTACACATCGTTCTTCGTCAAGCACAAGACCACGCCTGCGGACATCAACGACCACAAGGGGAATGTGGAGATTCATGATTTCAATAAACAGGGTATCCCTCGAGGCGAAGAGAGCGACACGGAGTGGCTGCGGGCTGCCCCTTGGGGCTTCCGAAAGCTTCTGAATTGGATCTGGTCTCGGTACCAGATGCCCATCTACGTGACGGAGAACGGGACGACCGCCAAGGGCGAGACAGCGCCTTCACCCGGAGTTCTCAACGATCAGTTCCGCATCAGGTTCTTCGAGGGATATGTTGGGTGGGCACTAGCTCGTGCGGTCAAGGAGGATGGCGTCGATATCCGCTCCTACTTTGCCTGGACATTCACCGATAACTGGGGTAGGTTTTTTTCTGTCTCGTGTGAAATTGCAATACTGATAATGGCGCAGAATGGGCTGCGGGCTATACCGATCGGTTCGGCTGTACCTTTATCGACTTTGACTCACCAGAGAAGACTCGGTACCCTAAGCAGTCTGCGTATTACCTTGCCAAGCTGTTTAAGCATCTGATCAAGGAGTCTTAAATGTTTCCACATGCCGATGGAGGATTAGACCCTTGCACACTAAATAGAGTTGAATGATATGTGACAGATATTAGAAGACAAATCTCAGGATACAAACAGTCATAGAATGGACGCATTTACATCTCACAAAGCAAGCAATTATTGTACAGAACCAACATTGCCGTGACCATGCCATTCAAAACGCGCAACGCCCGATAATTGTCCAGTGCATATCCGTACCAAGCCAGCCAGCCATCCCGCAATACCACAGACAACGCCAGCAGATCGAACTTGATCGCAACTTGACAAAACGCTTGCAAACAGTGTCAGTCTCCGTCCTTCATCCAGACCAAAAAAACTCACAATCTCAAAAGGTGCCGAGGAACGACAAAACCGAGCCCCAGCCTGCCTGCCCTCAGTTCAAGTAGCGCGGGATACGGCCCAAGTTGCGCCGATTCTCATCCGAGCGACGCACCAAGGGCACCTCGAAACGCACATGAGGCTGGCCGTCATGACCCGCACTGGCAGTCGCAGTCGCAGTCGCATTCCCCACCGAAGACTGCAAAATCGAGCTAGGAAAGTACGCAGTCGAGGGCTGTCGTTGACCAGCGGGGCGTTTCGTGAGCGGCGCAAACTCGCGCAGGAACATCTCCCATGGATCCTCGGGAACTTTGTCGCCGTCGCGGACCTTGCCTTGGAGAACGCAGAGGCGGTACATGTTTCTTTCGAGGTTGATCCAGTCCACGCCGTAGGGTTTGTGGGTGATGCCGGTGGAGACGTCGGTGTTCGACCAGAAGATGTGCGAGAGGGTAGTTAGGATCTTCTGGCGTTCTTGCTCTGCGTTGGCCATTTTAGGATTGTCGCTTGATGAGGCTGGATTGAAAGAGATGCGATCTAGAGGGTTGCAAGGGCAGGAGATGGAGCTGGTAAAGAAAATGTTACAGGGTTTCTGCAGGCATGGTGTTGATTATTGAGCTTCGTATGGAGTGGTTGTTAAAAGAACGTAGGAGGGGGCGTGGTGGGAGTGATATATAGATGCGAGATTAGACGCGACGTGCACGCAGGATATCAACAAACGTGAGGTAGTGAATGTTGTATAACTTGGATAGGGCATGACAATATTTGTGGTTGTGTGAGGACAGTGAATGAAAGTGATGGAGGCCATATCTTGCCTATCTTGAGTATACTAGACATGGCTTGACCTATCATAGATGACAAGATGGCAGAGGCAGAATTCCTAAAAATTCATCAAGTTCCAAAATTAGTCATATAAGTATGAGAACTTTTTGCAAATTAAGAAGAATAATGATGAAGCTATAATGCTATCAGGTAAGTATACATAGCTCTACACAGCAGCGACGACCAACTATCTCCGAACACAACCCGATCAGCAAATGACCAGGGTCTCGGAAAACAGCCGACCAAATGAGGGGACAACCTACCCCAAATCCTTATAAATCATCAAGTTTCCATCTTCTTCCACCCTGAAACTGCAGATACCAGGCGTTGAAGCTTTCGTGGTATACTCATATACTCACCTAACTGCCATTCCTCACAATGCAGCTTCAGATCGAAGAACCGCCCAGATTGGAGCTGAAGGGCTCTCCAAGAGAAGTAAATCCATCCCGACAATTGTTTTCATTACATCTGCTTGTTTTGCTTCTGCGAAGTATGAGCTGACTTTGGTGACTGATAGATCGGCCTTGAACATGGCCGAATCCTATCACAGCAGATCCAGGACCAAATCAAAGTCTACGGAGACATGTTCCTGGAGACCTCTAAGATGTCCTGGAACGATGTCAGGAATCTCGCCGAGGAGTTCCGTGAATCACTGGAGAAGAAAGTGCGCGACATCTACGAAGAGATGCAGGGTATAGCAGAGGGAGCGGGGGTCGATCTTCTCGATATTGTGGCGCTGAACTGTCGCAGTGAAATTGCCATGGGCAGTTTCTCCGATGGCTGCACAAGTCTATCTTGGAAGAAACATGACGAGGGACGAGTCCTGGCTCAGAACTGGGACTGGGCTCCCGCTGCGGGGAAGAATATCGCTATCATGTCAATCGAACAGCCCGGCAAACCAAAAGTCTATGTGGTTACCGAGGTCGGTCTACCCTCGACAGTTTTATTTGTCAATACAAACTAACACTGATATTAAAACAGGCCGGTATCGTTGGAAAGATTGGGTTCAACAGCGCAGGTGTAGGCGTTTGCCTCAACGCCATTCGGGCGAAACCGTGCATCAGCTCAAAGATCCCTATCCATGTGGCGCTCCGCCTCTGTCTTGAGAGCCCATCTGCCCAGACGGCGGCCGAAAGGATCTCCGGGCTGGGAGGTATAGCTTGCAGTGTGCACATCCTAGTTGCAGACAGCACGACCGCACTGGGACTTGAACTCTCGCCAGTGGGAGACGTGTATCTCGAGGAAGATGAGTTGGGAACTATCCCTCACACTAACCACTTCATCGAGAATCGGAACGTGTACGAGCCTCCATGGCTCTCCGGCTCCCCAATTCGACTGGATCGAGTCCGCCAGCTCGTTCGGGAGCTGATCGGGGGCGGAATCGCCGGCTCTCAGATCACTCCGAGTCTCCTGCGGGACAAGATCTTTTCGGACACTTTTAATGCGCCGCAGGCTATCTGCTGCTCGGAGGATCCTAGCCGGGGTCCTGCGGTGCGGTCTAAGACCATTTTCAATATAATTATGAATCTGGAGAAAGACAATCTCAGCGCGGAACTTGTCGTTGGTCGACCAGGTTCTGGGGAGGAGACTGCCGTGATACGGATGCCTTGGGCATAACAGTGTTGGATTGCGGTTTCAAGATCATTGATGTCTTCTCAATGTCTCTAGCTACATTCCGTTCTCATGTGGATTTACTCAATGATGCGCTCAATCCTTGCGTTGTCTCTTCCAAAATGGGTCTGAATGTTGTAAGACATAAAAGTAGACAACACATTGTGCAAGACAACAATGGCATTTTCAACTGTTCTATTGTGCACAAACTTTTGATACACTCTGCCTCGAATGAGACAGATGCTGTCGGTCCCAGATGAAGACTAAATATTTGTCCTCGTCGATATATATAATGGCCTGGACTTGCACTTGAATGGCTTCATTATTATCATCATCCTGATCCTCATCAGCGATATCCATTCTTCTTCGGATACCTCTTATTGATAAAATTCAACCCCGTTCCTCTCTCGGAATGACATGATGTCTACCTATCAAGACCCATCCAACGAGCGCGACGCCCTCCTGGCCGCCCTCCAGGAACAGACAGACCTGCTGAACGCGCACCCAGAAGAGGCGGATATTATCACGAAGTCATGGATGATCTCGAAGAGCAGCTTGCAGACTTGGTGGAGGAGGAAGCCCAGGACCTCCAGACCTGTCTATCACCGGTCCTCGAGATGTTTACTAACCCCCAGCTGCTGATTGACGCATTCTCGTGCCCCCCGAGCCCTAGTGGAGACGCCGACGACGGTGGCAGCGGCCGTGATGAGGACGAGCTGAACAACCATCTTTGTGAGAGATTCTGCAGCCATGAGTGCGACCATGAGTCGTGCAGACTTGCCAACGAACATTGGTATGGTTGCAAACCCCAACTCCAGAATGCTCGTGATTGCTAGGATGCCTAAGACCGATGCTAATATTGTCTGTTAATCATGCTTTAGGAAATCTTTTCCGGTTTTCTACTTGTGAGGTTGGGTTTGTGTTCTGCTAACTTTGCAGCAGATCGAGGACGATGAAGTGTTGGTTTTGGCTTCGGTTTTGATTTCATGGTTCAGTTCTGGGTCGCTTGTGATTTCGTTTGGTGGTACAATATTTTGTCTGCTTCGAATCTGATATAAAATCATTGATATTAAATTTCTTGTTCTCTAGGATTGGCTGGCTGCGTAGTGGCTTGTAGAAGACTTCCAGGGCGTTCGATTTTCCTCCGTAGTTGCGCTTCTCCGCATGGATTGGCAATCGGCGCCCTGGAATTCGTCATCGACTTGCCCAGCCTATTATTATAAGCTGCAAGCATCTAACCATCAGACTACCAGTTGAACCTCTTATCTTTCTTCAATACAAATATCTCGGCACCTCGAAGACCATCTGGAAGACGACAACCGGCCTCCGCAGTAATATCATGGCCTCTGCCACAGGAGTCCCTCAAGAACATCCTCAGACCATTGAGGCCAGAGAAGATGAGCCGCTATTGGGTGGACCAGGTGCAGTAACGCAAAGAGATAGCGATCCTATTTATCGCAATTTGATCAAAGGTGTGTGCTGCTAAATGTGAGGTTGTCTGGCTTGATACTAATTCATCGGCTGCAGGGACTGCCGCTGTTGCTCAGTTCGGTATATTGATTGTAAGATAACTAACCATTGCAGCAGATTGCATGGCTGTCTTCTGGTGTTCCCTGTGATTGACGCGGTTTCCCAGCTTGTGGCCCTCATCTGGGCTGGCATCTTCTCCCATCCTTTGATCTTCTTTTCTGCTCATCCGGTACGTTGACCATTATATCGAGTTATAGATGATACTTTGGGCGATGCCTAATTTCTATAGCTGCTCAACTCCTCCGCTATACTTCTCCAAGTACAAGCCGCTCTTATTCTACAGCCAACTGCGACGCCGCAGCAGAAGCTCCTGGGCACTCGAATCCACTATTCGCTCCAAGCAATCAGCCTGGCTGCTTTCGTCACCGCATTCATCATTATCGAGATCAACAAGGGCGATCACCCGCGGCTAACATCGCCGCATAGTATCTTCGGACTAATCACCTACATCTGCATCATCCTTCAAGCACTGCTGGGACTTGTTCAGTATTTCTTCCCTGTCACGATCCTTGGCAGCGCTGATGCGGGCAAGAGACTGTACAAGTACCACCGCCATTTTGGATACTCGCTGCTTGTCCTGGAACTAGCAACCGTGGCAGCGGCAACGCAGACGACGTATAATGTGAATGTTCTGCACATTCCGCTTTGGGGAGTTCTTGTCGCAGCAGTGTTAATCGTCGCAGGAGTCGGTGCCAGAATCAAGAAGCATAAATTAGGCTTCTAGAGCGATTTGCCTTCCGATAATTTGCTAGGAAGTTTGAATGAATGCGCATAGGAAACAGGACGCAGCTCGTCGATGCTTGCATATTGCCGGCCTGGATATCAATGGGAGAGATTGTGTACAGGATATATTTCTCGCACCAGACATATATAATATCTATCTAAAGGAATACGGAGAAAATACATGACGGAATGCATCATATAAGTATTAGAAACGTGGGTATCAAGACCATAAAGTGCTAGTATGCAGATTACTGAATTAGGAAAGGCGGGGACAGCTCAGCTCTTATCTTTTTCCTCCCATCGGCCCATATCTCCCGCGCATTTATAACTTCCACATCCCTTGGCCTGCCATGGCGTTGATTAAATCACCGTACATCTGCCTCAATTGCAGATTGACGAGCAGGCTCACCCGACGCAACTTCACTGCGTCTGCTCGAAACTCGGAATTGCTGCGTCCCGCAACCGCTCCGAAACCCTCCCCCGACATCAAACATATCCGCCAGAACGCAGAGCTCTACTCGAAAAACAGCGTGGATCGGAATTATCCGGCACACGCTGATTATCCCTACAAAATCCAAGAACTGTCCGAAGAAGCAAGGCGTCTTGATCATGATCTCAAAACGCCGCGGTCCCGCATTAAGCAACTCGAGAAGACCATAGCGAATCTTGCGGCATCCGCTCGACAAGATGGCGCATCCAGTGCCATTGAGGAAGAATTGGCATCTCTCCGGTCAGAGGCACAACGATTGAAGGATGAATCGCATGCAATGAATACCCGGAGAGCAAGCTGCACCGAAGAAATCCAACGGCTCGCCCTATCCCTGCCGAACCTTTCCTCCCCCGAGACCCCCGTCGGAGACGACCCAAAGCTCGTCAAATACATCAATTTCGACCCTCAGTCTCCCCCAGAGTGGGTCAGCCGTCCAGACCCGTCTCGATCTCATGTCGCTATCGGCACCGCCCTCGAGCTAATCGATTTTACAAGCTCTGCGACCACCACAGGCTGGGGCTGGTACTTTCTGATAAACGAAGGGGCGCTCCTGGAACAAGCGCTGATCCAGTACGCCCTCAGCGTGGCCCGTAACCGCGGCTGGAAAGTCGTGTCACCGCCGTCTATCGTCTACTCCTACATCGCTGAAGCGTGCGGCTTCCAGCCCCGCGACCAGCACAACGAGCAACAGATCTGGGCCATCGAGCAGAACGACAAGGACAAGAGTAAGCCCCAGCGCTCTCTAACCGGCACAGCCGAGATCCCTCTGGCAGCCATGTACGCCGGCCGCGAACTCGACGCCTCCAACCTACCCCTCAAACTCGTCGGCGCCAGCCGCTGCTACCGCGCCGAGGCAGGCTCCCGCGGCGTAGACACCAAGGGCTTGTACCGCGTGCACGAATTCACCAAAGTAGAGCTCTTCGGCTGGGCCGATATTTTCCCCGCAACCAGCTCCTCCGACGACCTCTTCGCCGAGCTCCTGGACATCCAGACCGAGATCCTCACCGCCCTGAACCTCCCCTGCCGCGTCCTGGAAATGCCCACCACAGACCTCGGCGCCAGCGCCAGCCGCAAGCGCGACATCGAGGCTCTGTTCCCGTCGCGGCTGCGCGCCCCCGCTGCCGACAGCGACAGCTCCTCGCCTGACCTCGAGTCCGGCTGGGGAGAAGTCACCTCCGCCTCGATCTGCACGGATTACCAGAGTCGACGGCTGGGTACGCGTGTGCGCGGAGGCTCGGCGAAGGAATCTCGCTTCCCGCACACTGTCAATGGGACCGCGATGGCCGTTCCGCGTGTACTGGCCGCTATCTTGGAGAATGGATGGGATGAGAAACGGAAGGTTGTTGTAATTCCGGAGGTGCTGCGGAAGTGGATGGGGGGTCTGGAGGTTATTGGAGAGAAGTCGTAGGTTCCATCGGGCGATTCTGTATGCATATTCTCTCGCCTCCGCTGTATCATGCTGTACAATATGTAGAACACGTTGATTTGGCGCCCGTATATATTATAACGCTCGCTGCTTTTTGTTTGTTTACTGCAGAGGGATGACCTGCACATAGGAGCAGTCAATACTTCGAATGTATTACAGCCTAACTAAGCTAATGAGCGACTCTATCACACCACATCTGGGCATCAAACACCACGGAAATAAAGGCAATTGCCCTCTGGCAAATGAACGAAGGGGAAGGAACTAGAATCAGATGGCATAATATAGCAGGGGGTATCGTGATCGTATCGACATGACGAGAAACAACAAAAAATCAGAAAAGAACTCCGCCATTTTCGCATACATAGGTGCCCGCGTCATTATTCATTCAAATCAAATCATATCAAAAGAAAAAGCGGCGTATAAGTATCATTAGTCGTTATGGTCACTCCTCAATCCCAGGGGATATCTTCATCCTCGACTTTCGTGCAGGTGAGATACGGTAACGCGCCGAGTGCCGAGTCGCCCAGCTCGGTACCCTTCAGGTCCAACTCGAGGAAGTTCCTCAGGAGCGGCTTGACGATTTCCCGGGCCAGCCGCTTGATTTCGTCCATTTTGCGCTCGAAGCGTTTGAGGACGTCCCGGGTGTAGAGCGAGTCTGCGGACGGGGTGGGGTGGACTTTGAGGAATTTCTTAAGTTCGTCGTGTGAGAGGTAGGCTTGCGTCGAAGGTGAGCCTATGAGTCGGTAGACCTGTGCTGGGGAGAGAGGGGGCGAGGGAGGGGAGGCCCGCGAGATGGTTTCCTGGGTGCGATGACTGCTTTGTGGACGGCGGCTGGTATTGTTGCTGGGGCTGGGGCTGGGGCCGGTGCTGATGTTTGCGCTTGTGACAGCCAGACGGTTCGTCGAAGGGTTTTTGAGGATCGGAGCCGGCGGCGGGGTGGTGTTGTCCACGAGCCACTGGCGGAAGAGGGAGACGGCGAGCCAGTCGAGGTATGCATTTGTAGGGGTGACGCGCTCGCCGCGCGAAGTGGTGAGCGTCAACCGCAGAAGCTTCGAGTCGACGCGCGCCCTTAGGTCTTCTAGATCCTCGACTTTGTCCTCGATGATGTCGAGAACCGAGTTCGGGAGGGGTGAGTATGAGCCGTTGCGAAGGTGCGGTAGAGCCGCGGGCCACTGGCCCACAACGTGGATCAGTGCCTCGGAGAAGATGACCCGGCTGCGCGCGAGGTACCCCAACTTGAGGTAGCTCGGGGGGTATTTGGCAATCTGCTTGAAGAGTCGAGATCCAAATCCGAGGAGATGATGGTCTACTCGAGGTCCAGTAACCGCCAAGGCATCGTACATGTCGGCAAGCGCAAGCAGAGATCGGCACTCGGCATAAGCAGTCGCGATGTTGACACTATTGAGAAGAGGAGGGTAGTTGTAGAACAGGCGAAACAGATTGTCATAGTCACGGATGATCGGATCCATCTCCACAGTTGCTGTATTTGCCGTATGAGGCAGGTTGACAACGGATTGCATTCCTGCTAGATTTGCCATTGATCGGATGAAGCCAGTTTGTGCGCTCGAAGGTTTGGTCATCGACGGGGGAAAGTGGACGGCATCGCTCCCTATGGCATTGGAAAACGTTGGCTGCTATATCCTCATATCGTCGTCAGTTGTTGGACTTAGTATGGAATATTGTTCAGACTGACCTTTTGGACAAGTATAGGCTCTTCGTCGTCTGCCTTATTTTCCCAATCCAGCTCGTATCTCCACCTCCTCTTTTCTGGGTGAACCCCACAAGCGCCGCTCTCTGATTGCGCAAGGGTTGACCCGTTCGATAGCGACGAGTTATCCTCGCTGATCCTGGACATTATCCCCGTATCGATGTGCTGAGGCCTTGCTGTGCCCTGTTGCGACCATCCCTCGCTTGTGCTGGCCTCGAAGAACCCAGAGCATTGCGCCAGTATCAATCGATGCAGAAGATAGCGTCGTTCCTGTCCACCGGCGCGTATCACGATCTCAACATCACCGGTGTGGGTGAAGATTGGAAAATCATTCTGGGATTGATAAGAAGGACCGCCATGATGGGAACGACTCGAGCGATGGCGGCGACCGCTATGCGAATGACGCGACACAGAAGAGGGTGCGCTTTGCATCGGCGCATAGCGATCAAGAACTTGGGCTTGAGAGACCATTTGAACTGCGGAAGTGGAAAAAGGCTTGATGATCATGGCCTCCGTTTCGAGCTCAGCTTGCAAGCGCTTGGGAGACCACTAGGTGACAGACACCAGAGAGAAGTGTGCAGCGTTCATTTAACATTGACTAACCCAACAGAAGTCAAGCGATCTGGCTGAAAACAGGGAAACAAAGGGATTGACTGCTTGATAAGATCGTACTAAAGAAAGTTAACCGCGTTTGTTGTGATTTTTAGTGGATTCATTCCCCGCTGCGATATGTTGCGCCCCTCCTGGAATGGATAAGCTGAGCGACTCCCGCGGGGAGACTAGGTGAGACTAGAGAGGATCTAAATAGACGATGCGAGGATGAAGGTCCGGGACAAAGAGACCATTAGCAAAACTTCAGAAGCTGAAACAAGAGACGGAAGCAGTACTCCGTAGCAGTCAAGCAAATATCCACACAGAGGCACAACATCTAAAAGTACATACGTCTACCCATGTAGGTACATACCTGCTTGGTAGACTACCGACTAGGGAGCTTCCGCACCATGGAAGATCGACTCCACAACACAGCGGGGTAAACTACTTCCCTTATTGTCTTCTACAAAATAAACTACCTTTGAAGCATAATTATAAGAAATTAAGAATCTTCCGATAATACCATTAAAGTTGATGGTGATACAATCATCTCTGCTGGCCCACAGTGTGCATGTGTAGATTGAATGAATGTACCTCTATAAATACCTTAGGTATATGATACCGTAATCTGTGTATTGAGATGTATGAAACAATGCCAGTGTTTTGATCTAACCCGCTTCAGCGTAACTAGCTTAGTGATGAATGATGACTCATCTGATAGCCCAGCAGTCAGTTAACTATCGATACGGAAATATTAATCGTCATTGTCCTCGAACTTCTTCTTTCACGTCTCCGTCCAGGCGTCAGATAATCCGTCTTCTCAAAGAAGTATCCTGCGGAGCATTCATTCTCTACTTGAATTGACAGTCTCACTCGCGTCAAGAGATGGTTTGGTGGTTTGAGAAAGCGTACACGGCCTTCGACTTTTCCTGACACCCTGCTCAATGATGGCGAGTGTCATGCTTGGATATTCTGTTCTCGGTTGTACAGGATAGCAGTCCGTCCAGCATAGCATAAGGTTGCGCTACCAGCCGCTAGTCTATGACATCTTTCAAGTCATGACTAAAGGTTGTTACACCTGCCGTCGCCGCCGCATTATCTGCGACAATGGCCTCCCCACTTGTCGGAAATGTCGGGATGCGGGGAAGGAGTGCCTGGGATATCGTAAACCTCTTGTCTGGGTCAAGGGTGGTGTTGCTAGTCGAGGAAAGATGATGGGACGCAGTTTTGACGATGTCATGGGTGCTGCAACAGCTCAAAAGACTGATATCCACGATGTGAATACCATGCTCGCCGACGGTGCGATGCCACCGCCCACCACGGAAGCTCATTCTCCAATTGAATCGGGCAGACTTGCGGCATGTAGGGCGGATGAAACGTCAAGTGCGCCAGATGTTGAGCCTATCAGTGAGGCTGTAATAAGCACCGCTGGCGGCTTGGTCTCCACACAATGTACTACTCCTGCCCCTATCTATATCCCGACGCCTTGGGGACTGGTGGACCCTGTGTTGAAAGACCTCAGCCCGCTGTCAAGGTTCTATATCCTTCACTGTACGTCATTAATCCCTCCTGCCTTTCCTGCCTTCAGTAACAGATGTGGAACTGTCTAACAGTTTACCGCCTTTCTCAGTCAACCAGCATCTAGTGAGCTATCTTGCCTTGTATTCCGATGTGCGAAATCCCTACCGTGATTTGACCTTCTTGGTTGGCGATTCCCCGCTCCTCGCCCATGCTCTCGCTGCCACAGGGGCACTACATCACGCAATCTTGACAAACCTTGAGTTCTCGTTGCCCTGGTCCTCAGACGCTGCGGGAGATGGCGGCACGGCACTCTCTTCGGAAGAGGTGGAGCGAGCTGTGATCAGCTCCATGGCCAGGCGTCCGTCTTCCAAGGACTACGAACACTTTCTTGGCTTCAAACAACGCGCTCTTCGTCAGCTTTCGCTTGACATTTGTGATCCAGTCATGCGTAACGACAACCGAACCTTGGCAGCAATTATGGTTCTCGCTCTTATGGACGCCATTGAATCAGGAGACGGCGCTTGGAAGTATCATTTGGAAGGGGCGAAGAAATTACTCAAGAGCCGGCAGCAATCAAAGTCTCCGATTCAGGCGCAGGGCATGATGAACTGGCTGGACACCTTTGCCATTGATGGTTGTCTCCTGTAGGTCTTCCCGCTTCGTCAATCCATCTACCTAGACTAGAGCTGATCAACAGTTGCCAGAATTCAGCTAATGGGATCCACCCTTGCTCGTCCCGGCTCTCTCACACAGCCTTTCTATTCCTCCACTATGGGCCCAGCTGTTCTAAAGCGTCTAGAAGAGACCTCCTGGGTCGGTTGCCCAGCCTATCTGCTCGAAGTCATCTTTTTCGTCGAGGCTGGACATTTTGTGGCGCCTGACAAGGATTCTATCTCGCAACACACAATGTCGTTTTCCTCGGTCTTCCTGCCCGACGGCTCCAGCCCGCTCCAATCTCCTGAGGCCCTCCTTGAACACATACAAGCATTTGACCCAGTTGCGTGGGCCGAATCAATGCAGACTTGTCTCTACCTCGAGGATCTATCGATGCGCATCGCCCTCGCCACCGTCTACAAGGCCGCCGTCTATCTTTACGCCAGTCGCGTCCTCTCCCGCCCACGGTCAGAACGTAATTCAACGATTACCACCTCGTTCAGTCTTCCTCCAGATCACGGCGCAGTAACCAACATCCTCATCAACCAGATTGCACTCATCCCGGTCGCCGATCCACACTTCAAGTGCCTTATCTGGCCCACGTTTATCGCGGGCGCGGAATGCCGCGATCCCGCGCACCGCCCCTTCCTTCTCGAGAAACTCCGCGCTCTTTACTACGACATAACGAGCGTTAATGTCCGCAACGCAGCGTGGGTGCTCAGCCTGATGTGGCGCAAACGCGATCAACGGCGCGAGGAGCGGAACAGGCGACGTGCACAACAGGACGAGCTCTTCGACAAGTCGCCCCGCTCGCCTTTGACGACTGACTATGACGACGATGATTTTGATTGGATACAGGAACTTGATGATTCAAAAATCGATTGGCTGTTTATATAATTTTTTTTTTTTTTTTTTTTTTTTTTTCCTTCCTGCTTGCTTGACGAAGTAGCGTCCCTTTCGTCATGCTTGTGAGTACATATTTGCGTGTCACGTGAAGTCCTTAGTACATAAAGACAAATTTAAATCTAAGAGGGTTGTAAGCGATCGATTTGCGCATCTGGTGATATTTTTCTTCTTAGTGTCTATCGTGTCACTCTTTGAATCAGTAAGATACAATTGTTTGATTTGTCCAACTCCCAGCAGTGGCCACTGTGAAAGCAACCCCTGAATAGATCAAAAGGGTAGAGCAACTATTCAGACAACAGAGGCCGAACATCATGCTCGAATATATGATCGCATTGGCAAAAGCTATGTAACAGGAATGGCAATGTGTATGGATAGGAAGAGGACAGGGTCTGAAGGAAAGGTGGAAAGGAGAGATATCACCACTTGATAAAGGAGGACGAATTTGCATAGAAGAACTGGGGAAGAGATGAAGGGGGAGAGAAAAGAAAGAAAGATTCTCGAGAACCAAAAAGCCCGCTCAGTGTAACAAACCGAATGGTATAATAACAGAAAAGCAACCCGAGGCAGCAAAAGTGCAAAGGTAGGAGCCAATAGTCAGAGAAGTCGTCCATTTGCACAGACTTATTCTGTTCCATGATTAAGCAGAAGCTCGACCAGGCTTTAGAGTCCTTTTCCCATGTATAGCTCGGGAGGTCGGCGGAGTAGAGTAGGTACGGCGGAGAAGAGAAGTCAAGAAAAGGAGGCAGATGAGAAGAGAAGAGAACAAACATCAACCAGTACGACGAGAGACAGATGCATACGCCTGCCAATCTAAATGCAGCAATATCGATTCGAAAAGCACGCTCATCATTGCAGAAATGCAATATCAAAGTAGATCTTTCAACCAGACAAAGGGAATTCTTACAGTTGCGAACAAAAGAGAAGCGATGGAATGATCAGAGGAGAATATACGGCTGGAGAAGGCCACATGTGAATCTCGGATATCCACAAGTCAAACGAGACAGGCCAAGAAAGAAGAAGAATATGTATAGCTTCTACCGACATCGTTTCGGAGGGCGCAAATATGCCGTCGTCATAGGGTTGGGTCGAGGGAAAAGAGGCGACGGAGGTTTGGGGGCTAATAGCTAGGCAACAGGCTCGAAGAGTAATGGGACGATACCAGAGAAACCCAATGAGCGGAGGATAGACCCTTTGAGAATGAATTGATATTTTGTCATCATCAACGATAGGAAGAGCTGCTCAGAAGACTGCCGCCAGGCCGTTCTTAGAATGGCGTCTGCTAAATCTTTTCCGCCCTTTGACTGAGTCAGAGTCGTTAGGCTGAGGTTTGACCAAGGTTGCGCGCCCAGACGGGCCACCCTCGGATTGAAGCTCGGAGCTTCGATCCAGTGTGTTAGCGTGGCTGGACAATCCAGAAGACAAATCTCTGAATGCCTCATCAGAGTACGACCCGTTGCTCTGTTGAGCAAGAGCCATCTCTTTCGCACGGTCTAGCGTATCCACCCATTCTTGGACAGATAACGCCGTTGCACCCATGGTACTCGATGACGGCTTGGGGTCTTCAAAGACGAGATGTTTGTCGCGCTGTAAGCATGAAACTTAGCAAGAGAAAGCTTAAAGGGAAGTAACGATCAGCATACCGTATCTACAACCCAACACGAAAACCCTTTCGAATCCGTGGCACTACGATACGACGTCCCTTGCGCGAGCAGAGAAAGCTCCATCTTGGCCTTCTTGTCGTCCCCTCCGGCTGCAGCCATGATGATCCGCCCTGAGGAAGTGATCATAACCAAACGCTGCCGCTTCTTTGTCGTACTACCGCCAAAGAACCGCGAAAACTTTTTCGGCGCTTCGATCTCACCGCCCCCATTCTTCGAGACAGGACTATGGCCGGCGGGAGAGCTAAGGACCATCCAGTTTCCTAATTTGAGTATTCTTTCGTTGGTCTTGGTCAGGACGGGGGACCACTCAATATCAAGTTGACTCGGAGGAGGTAGTTCTGTTACCAATCTCGGCACTACTCGGGCGTTGGAATTGGGAGCGTTCGATGGTGCCGTCGAGATAACGGGGGGGAAGCTGTCATTGTCACCACCCCCATTGAGCTTGATGGGCTCGCGAGGTGGAGGTGCGTACGACTTGAGACGGGGTGCTTTCCGTGTCCATAAATCCGAGCCCCAGTTCACGCCTTGGAAAAACTCATGATTTTTAATATGTTCAATCGGGAGACGCCTAGCCGGGTCAAGGACCAAAAGGCGCTCGACGAGGTCTCGAGCAACCGTAGGGAAGCCCACAGGAAACTCGTACTCAAGCGCGACAATCTTTTGAAAAGTCAGGTACTCATTCGCAGCCTTGAACGGAGGACGGCCGGCCAGGAGTTGGTAGATGATGCAGCCAAACGCCCACAGATCACTAGCCTTGCAGGCATTCTTGTCCGTCAAAAGCTCTGGACTGACGTACTCTGCCGTACCGACGAAAGAGCTTGCCCGTTCATCTTCCGGGATCTCAGAGGAGTCGAGCGATGGCATTCCACTAGAGTCCTGATCGGTCTTCCTTTGGTTATTAAGGATTTTTGCCGTGCCAAAGTCAGTGATTTTGATGTACATTTGGCTGTCCAGAAGAACGTTCTCTGGTTTCAAGTCGCGATGAATTACGCCGCGTTTGTGCATGTAGTCGATAGTGTCGAGAATCTGAGCACCGTAAAACCTTGTGCACTCTTCATCAAAGGTAGACATCCGCTTCAACACTCCTAGCAATTCGCCGCCCTTGCAGAGATCTAGCACGAAATACAACGAGCGCTCATCTTGAAAGGTGTAGTAGAGTCGGACAATGCCGGGGTGTTCTGTGAGCCGGTTCAGGGTATCCTTCTCGATGTTGACGTATTTCACCTTCTTCTCCTTAATGATGTGACGTTTGTCGAGAATCTTGATCGCATATTCCTTCAACGTCTGACGATCCGTCGCTAATACAACAGTACTGTATGAACCTTCTCCCAATGTCTGTCCGAAGGAGAAATCGCGGACCCCCTTTTTGATATACCGCGCGACCGGCTTGCCATTAGCGTCAATTTCTTGCCTCACGGAGACAGCTGCACCACGCTCTTGCCAGTCTTCACTGCTCGCTGGCGGTCCATTTTCCATGCCGTAAGGGGACCCGGACAGTTGTGAGGCTCCTCCGCCGCGTGCGTGAGCTCGTGAGGACTGACGCATTATTGGCCCATTCCCAGGGGCACGATGCGCAGACCGGTAAGATCGGTCACTGTGACTGTTATCGCGCACTGGAACTCCAGCTTGATAGGCAGCAGAACCACCTCGGGATTCTGCACGTGCTAGACTTTCCGAGACGGAGGAGGCAGCAGAATCCGTACGAATACGATAGGAGCCTTCGCGGGCTAATGTCGAGGAGGAACCGTTCGGATAGAAAGCGGATAGAGGGCGCGAAGAGTTCTGAGGAGGGTGTTGTTGCTGCTGCTGTTGATGTTGCGGCGTATAGGGGAGGTATTGCGGAGTTTGGTGCTGTGGTAGATCAGGAGGGAGAAGGGCAGAATTACAGTCGTCGGAGGATTTGGAGTAGTTTTCAGGAAAAGGGGAGATAGAAGACTCTTGGTCGTGCTCGTTCGAGGTTTGTATTGACGTCGATCGCATCGTCGACTCGCGCTCTAGGTCTGGAGCTGGAGCTGGTTCTGCCGCCGTGGTTAAGGTACCGGCGCCCGGAGTTGGAGTCGCTGTATCCTCAGATGAATGCAGAGAGGAATTATCTGGATTTGCAATCCGTAAGCCCCCCAAGGACTGGGAGAGACTCAAATCCCCGTCCATGATGGGCACGGATGGCGGATGGCCCGTTACGGACCCAGGTTGCAATGGAAAAATCGAGGTAATGCGAATCGGGACTCGAAGGGGAAAGCTTCGATCTAGGCGGAGGAAGCAAAGAAGAGAGCGATTTAGGGTGGAGTTGCAGAAGCCACGGACACCGTAGCGGCCTCAAGGAGGAAGAAGGGGTTGTGATGGATGCAATACGGGTAGAATGTCGAGAGAAGGGAAATATCAGTCGCCCGTTTCGTTAGTGAATGGACTTGGAGAGGGGTGGCCGACGGACTATGGCGGCGGTCGGGGGAGTAGTGGGTGATGCATGATACAGCCAAAGCAACCACGAAAGATAAAAAGGGGGAGCAGCAGGTCGATGTTGATGAAGACAAGAGCGAAGAAACGAAGGGAACAGAAAGAGTAGCAATCAAGAAGATATGAAAAAGAAGGTCATGAGCCAAAGAAGTGAGAAAAGTAGTCAGAGGAGGGGGTCCAAAAAGATAATAATAACAAGTACTCTGTAGCGATGGAGCGGAAGAGGCTGAGTCGAGTTGGGGCCCAAATGAGCGAGATTAGCGGAGGACTGCGACGACAAGACAAAAGAGAAAAGAATGCTGGAGACTGAGGGTTCCTTGTAAGATAATGGTCTTAATATCCTCGAGATGAACTTGACTATATTATTTGCTACTGTAATTGTACAGATATAGATAGACTACCTACTGTCGATTTGGCTGTGCCTGATATATATATTGATGCCTGGGGTATCAGGCAGAAAGCATCTGACGGAAGAAAGTGATGCCACATTCGGCTTTTGACGTATGCGTATGCAGTGGATAGCTATCTCATGATGTGCACTTCATACATCCTCTCACCCTGAAAGGTTAGACCCCATTCTAGAGTGGTTCTATCGGGCTATGTCATTAATAAGTATGTTACCTACAACGATGTTGCTCTATTCTCCATAGGCGAAGGGTAACTCAGAACTACATAAATAGACTCCGCTGCTCCTTCCCAGCTTATCACTAGATCGCTAGTGGACTTTCTGCTATTGTTCAAATGGAGTCGGGTAAACAAGTATCACGGACAGATTCATTGCACTTTGACGGCTAGTCATCGTCTGCGTCAATATCTCTCTCTTCTATGCCTTGATTCACCTCCGTTTTAGCGTATTCAACTACGAACCGTCATGATCCGGTTCAGACAGACATCCATAGTTCTCTCTGAGAAAGACACTCAATATCACCTTGAAAGAACCATTATCCGCCAGAAAACTCGAGCGTCCCAGCTGCATCAACCGCACGTACATCGTCGTGCCGTGGACTGTGATGGCGCAGCTTTCATAGAGTCGGAAGTTACCTTCGTTGACTCTATCTCAGATTGCGAGGAGCAAGGGTCGATTCAAAGTTCAATATCTGATGCAATTAATGACACTAGCTCGTTAAAGGGGGATATTCAGGACATCCATGGCTCGTCCTTATTGCCATCAATTGACAAAGAAACCCAATGTGGATTACAGGCATCTCAGATGAAAAGAACTGCCCTCTCGCAGGATCTGGGTGACACAGAGAAACTAACAGGTAGACTTCATTGCAGTTGCAATCAGAATTCCTTAGTTGACGGAAATCTCCATATGACAGACGGGATTGCAGGCCCGCATCAACATACCGACTGTTTCTGTAGAACCAGCCTGCTAAATGAGTCTGTTAGTTTGCAAGCTTCGTCCTCAAAGGTTATAAACAAGTCATGTCTTCCATACCGGCAAGCGAGGCCAACAGTATTGGCAAGGGCTCAGTGTGATTTGACTCTGGAAGGAGGACCTAGAGTGTTCCGGACTTCACAGGACTTCACCAGCTCAAGCTTTCACCACGCAAAAACACGTTTGCTTGACCTTGACCCCCGAGAAAGATTTTCACATTCACTTCGACTCTTTCGTCAGCGCTCACTCACTGCCCCAAGGCATTCCCGTTATTCTGAATCTCTGGATTCGTCTGACGATCCTCAACTTACTGACTCTTCTCAAATTGAGATTCCAAGTAACACAATTGATAGTCTGAGACTGCAACCATCGTACTCGATCAACTTTCCTGCGGCTCATCACATTAAAAAAGACTTGACTTTTCCAAGACGCTTGATGGAAGATTACTCGAGAAAACCGACTGAAGTCAACGGACATCGTCGGGTCCAAACCCTCCCAAACGTGAGTGAGATTATGCCCAACCCAAGACATTTGAATTGTCATGTCTCATCAGAAATAGGTTCAGAATAACAACACCGACGATGGCCCGCATTTAGCCGACGCTACGAATGGCCCAGTGGCCTCGGACGGGCATAAGATACCCGAACAGGTTGAGCAAGGACCAAATCCTGGACCACCTTCAGCGCAGGGTGAGAGCGTTGGGGATATTTTTAAACGCCGCATGAAGGATCATCGTCGCTTGAGGCGCTGGAAGGCTTGGTTTGAGGCACAGCAGATCTTCATAAATACTACTGGGAAGCAGTTCGCCGCAGAGAATCAGGGACAGGGACCCGTCCTCGTGCCAGAACCCGCCTGGTTGCATCGACAGGCGGCTCTCATGGGACTAGAGGCGGTTCGCATAGCACAGCAGGTGCCTTATATGGAACAGCAGCCGGCCTTTGAGGCCCAGACTGCCTTAAACTCTGATACGCCTCAGCATGACAATCGAGTGGCAGTCACCGATGAAAATCGTATGCCTGCTCTAGAGGAAGCCCTTCTTGATGGTACAGATCCGCCACCACTCGCAAGCTCCAAGCAATCTCTTGCAGAGTACCTGATCTTCAAGGAAAGACCATGTGCGAGGCGCAGAAACTCTGAGCCAGCGGATATTGTACGTCCTTTTCTGAACTCTCAGAAGTCTGTATTGCTGACCTGTGGCTGGTTAAAGAAGAGTATTCTTCATCTCACGGCATTTGAAAATTCAGCTGCCTTTCGCGACTACATCGACGCTACCACTGCGGAATTGGACGATCCATTTGCTCAGGATGACGCGACAGATTTTGGACTGCTTGCATTGAGAGACAGGCCTGTTGCCGAATGGGGCCGTGACTGAAAGAGTATGCATCAAAACCAACATATGGTTTAAGGAGGAGCGTCCAAAGGTTGGTATGGACTATGCGAGCATCCAACTGCGGTCTTAACTGTCACCCTTGAAGAGTCTAACGAAGTCAAATACCGAAGTTTGCAGAAGCAGTACATGTGTTTAGTAGATTGGCGGCGTTGTTGGTAGACCCAGTCCCGTCTTTAACACTGTAGCTCCTGCTAGCTGTATATACTTCATACATCTTCCTTCAGGACATTAATTTGTGGATCGTGTGGAGAGATACATTCATAGGTTTCAGGCCATCATGACTAGACAGCAATCCTAAGCGTGAATCCCTACGTGCTCTACTGTAAACCTTAGCTTCAGAAACTCGCATAATAAGAGGGACACCTGGTAGAGACTTGATACGTGTTTCAATCTATTTTTGTAATATTTTGACACTGCCTGTGGTTCTAACTTTTGCCTACATATTTGGGTACCTCTCTAGATGGCTCAGAGTTATTTAGAGACTTAACCGTCAAACCCGTCTCCATACTTACGCGTCCTGTATCCATGACTCCAACGAATCATGGCAGATCTCAACGTGGACATTCGCCACAGACTGACGGAGACATGAAAATGAGACCGTAGATCCCCCAAAGCAAGCCTGCATCCAGGAGATCACTCTGATTCCCTTTAAGGATTAGCCAATTTTCAGATTAACCACCGTCATGTTTCATCAATTGTGACAGGTTGACAGGCTGATGACTGATTATATCATCGCCCCTGGACGCGTGTTGCTCACAGTCACAGATCCATGGGTGATGCCGTCGGGGTGGCGGATTCTAACGTTATTTTTGGCCCAATCGGAGGCTTATGCAGATTACGGAGTACATCATCCGCTACCTCACAGGACGGGATATAGGTTGCAGGTTGCAGGATGCAGTCTTGTGGCTTGCGAGTTTGTGATGACTACCTAACTAATGTCTAGTGTTATGTGGCGATCACGGTCATCATCATTAATGTGGTATTTCTGATTGGAATATGTTGTCGTGTCTCAGTCTGTGGCGTCAGGATGGAATTGAAAAACAGTAAGTACTGCACAGTACCTAAGTAGAGAAACTACCTTAGATGATTCTGCTTATCCTGATTGGCCATGGCATACTCCCTGAAGCATTGTGAACCTGTGACAGCTGGGAAATTGGGTATCTAGTTGGAGACCACTGGAAGATGTACTCTTATCCTGTCTTTGAGAGATCCTCTTGTCAAGCAAGCTCAAAGTGGAGATTTAGCGCAAAGTAGGTTTGCTTCGAACTGACGGATTAAATTCAATTGATTACTGATATATTGCAGTATGGTAAGAAGTCTGACAGGAGCAGCTTTATATCGTAGAATCACTTCATGCCAAACAAGCCAGTCAAAGAAGGATCAGAATGATCGAATTCATCAGAATAAAGGTATATAATAGATGCGAGGCAAGTCTAACAACATGATTTATGTCTGAGAAATGGTATAGCGAGAATGGTAAAAGGTGTAAAGGTGATCGGAAGAAGAAAGGAAGGTGATCACAGAATGAAACGCCGGCAAAGAAGTTCTCGGACGTCTCGAATTAAAAGCAAAATGCTCCGTTGTTCCCAGTCTTGCCTCTAGATTTTTCCCGTTGAAAACATAATTCAGTATTAAGATTGACAGTAGTTTTGAAAAAACCATCGTGGTACATGAGAAAGGAACATTTTACTGGGCCTTGCTCTTGGCGAACGCCTGAGCACCGTCCTCCAGACGTCTTTCAGTGTTTTGACGGCCGTTGACGAAGTCAGGGTAGTTGAGAGTGAGCTCAACAGCACCATTGACAATATTGTCGACGGCTTCGACACCCAGCATGAAGGAGTGGTCCTGGTTGCCAACCTCGTAGCGCCAGCTACCGAAGCGGCCACGAGACCAGATCTCCTTGTCTTGCAGCTTAGGCAGAATCTG